TGGTTTATCTTATCTAAAAATGTTTTTTTTTTAAACCCAAAATTGATAAATCTTATGTTTTAAAAACAAATATTATGATTCAACAAAAAATAACATGATATAGACGTTAAATTTGCAATAAATATCACATGTTGACAAAATGAAAAAAATACCATTATATAGATTTTTCATTTTTGTTATGTTCATCACATAGACGTAAATGAATAAAAAAAAAAGATGGTCTAAAAAGAATAGTTTTATAAGGACAAGGCCAATATACAATTATGTGAACATATTGGCCTCTACATTAATTCAATAGATTTTCTAAAACCTTTTTGCTTGATTGAAAAAACGAAACTGAAGATAGAAGAAAACCCTAGGTTTGATCTCTTATCCCCCAATTTCTTCTTTTACTTGTATAGAGCATTGATGATTTCTGGAAATTTCGTTTTGAATTTTCTTATTCAATGTTAAAACTTTTTTTTTTTTCTGTTCCCCCACTTCTGTGTGCATCTCTAGATTCGAAGTTGTTAAATTTGTTGGTTTTTTGGTTTCACATGTATCAAATTTGTCAACTTTTAGATTCTGTGATTAGCCTTGTTTGGTCCGATCTCAAAAAAATATGGTTTAACCATTCTAAAACCAACCAAATGGTCTATGACCCGCAGACCATATGATTTCTCTCTCTCACAAACTAGAGCTCCAAACAAAAACAAAATCCAACCTTCATAGCTCAACATCGCTTGTAAATTCGAATCTGTGTTTTAGATTTGTAGAAGGTTGAGAAACTGATCCTCTATCTGTTCCTGTAAGTTTCCTCCGATCCTATGAAATCTAGGGATTTCAAATTTTTGGGGTTTAGGGATTTCGAATTTTGGGGGTTCTGTGATTCTAGGGATTTCGAATTATGGGCTTTGTTTACTTGTTGTTTGATTTCAATTTGACAGAAGATTTGTATGTAATAACACTTTTTATGTTTCAACTTTTGATTTGGTTGCTCGAAAGTTCATTTCAAGTTCTGGACTCGTTTCTAATCTCATTTGCTTCTGTAGCCATTAGATGATGAGAGTTTTGCATCTGGGTTTTGTTTATTATTGCCAACAAGGATGATTTTGGTCTGATTTTGTGTGTGTTCTATAAGAAGGCATAATCCGAGTGATGACTTTGAGATTTTTAAATGGAAAGAACTCTAGTGATGACTTTGGTATAGTTTGAGAGAGTTAGATCGTTGAATATGATTCAGTTAAAGGTTTTGGTAAGAGTTAAGAACATATCTTCTTTTGTGAATATGATTTTGGAATTCAATTTGTTTGAGTTGTTGACTTGTTAC